TAAGGGTTATATAATCCATTCAGTGACTTCTGGGTCTGCCCATTCAGTAGAAAGTAACATAATAACTTTTAAAGTTTTCAACCAGGAAGCATTTTAATCAGATGCCTAAAGAGCCAGTTTGATACAAACAGTCCCTGCTCACCAGCAAGCTTTCCCTCTAGGCCTGGCTTCAACTGTGTGCCTGGGTATTCCTAGTCTGTTCCATCAAAGTCTTTGAAATGCTCTTCGTTGGACCTGCTTCCCTGAGACCAAACTGCCATGGGAGACCCTACCAGGGGCCAATGCTCCAGACGAAACAGGTTCCCTTTATCACATTAGGCTGGCAATTCTACAGTGGGGCTTGAGATAACTGCAGTGACTTTGATGTTTAGTTAAAAGAAAAGTCRGCAGATACAAGCTTCTTCTAGCTATAGCCTTTTTTTGTTGAAACCTTCCTTCATTAAGAAACTGCAACACTGACTGTCCTCACATGAGAGCCTAAGTCCAGAAATGTGTTATACTTGTTTAAAAATTGCATCTGACAAAATTGAAACTTTTGTATTGAAAAGGTTGGTCACTAGATGGCATGTAGTATCATAATAGTAAATAACTATTTGAATCAACAATGTATTTTCTTCATCTTTCTGATCTTAAAAAAATCCTGATAAACAAGTGTATCAAGAAAAAATAATGAAGTTGTGTTATTGTAGTCACAGCAGGCTTGATTTAGCAGTCCAGGGTCTTGTGGGTTCTATGTGGACAAATGACTTCTCTACACCAGACTGACAAGCCAAATAAACACAAAAAGAATGATATACTGCCTATATGATGCTTTTACACTTGAGTGCTCAGCAGGACAGATGAAACAAACATGCACTTGGTACATCTTAAAGCTTTATGTGTAACAGATTTAAAGCCTGTTGCTTGATGGGGTCGTTTTTTGTGGATTGAAAAGAGGCCTGCAGGTTCTCCACTTATTTATGTAACTCTCATTAAATATGATGGCAGAGGCAAAACCTGGCTGCGGCCTTCCTACGTGGAGTTTGTACAGTATGTTTTCCTCGTGCATGTGTGGGTGTTCCCCAGGTACTCTTGTTTCCTCCCACAGAGCAAAAAGGATGCTTACAAGATTAAATGACAACTCTGAATTGTCACTATGAATGAATGTATGCTGGGAATATGTGACAGCACCCTGAGACCCTGCACAGGAAAAGTATRAAATACATATATACATAAAGAAAGAAACAAATGGGACGTTTTAAACACAAAATGTCACTCAAAGCAAAACAAAAGGAAGTCTTTCCATATAATGCTAATATTTTAACCAGGTTTTCTGAAAAGAGACACTTAAATTTAGATTTTGCTCATTTTGCTGGACAAGTCAAAGCTCAGGTAGTCGAATATGAAGACATAAAATTTCTGCTGGTTTCTGAGCCAACATATTTTTGTTCATATGGAAAAAGTGCAACGGTGATGACATTTGCTGTGTCCAAATTCAAGGACTGGTTCCTTCAAAGGACCCAGCCTACTTGGTTTAGGTGTTCTTGGTAGATTGCAAAAACTGGAAAAAAGTGGCTGTGAATTTGGACGGTCTAGCCTTCTGCTTTATTCCCACCCTTACCCCGGCATATGTCCTGTTATCTAGCTACAGTGACAATGCTAAACAGAAGCCAAAATCCATTGAAATTATCAAAATATCAATATATAAGTATTATCACTTTCACAAAAAAAATGCTTAAAGGCAATATTTGAAGAACTACAGGTCCTGCCATAGGTGCATGTTTATTTCGCTATACCAGCTTGTTTAATTTATGACAAGAATAATATAAAAAAACATGTCTACAAATGACAAAAACAACTCAACTGCTTGAAACTCTTAATTTTTATACCGCTAGATTTTAATTTAAAACTGTACTTCTTTCTCTCGCGTCATCCATTATTACGAGACAAACAAAATCTCCAGTTGGCCCGCAATGCATTATGGGATAGGGTGGACCGAGAAGAATCCATTGGACCCGTCCCTCAAATCAGGTAAAAAGGAAGACGCTTTTCTCTGCCGAATCGTAGGAATCTTCAAATGTGAACAGCCTCAGGTGCGCTGTTGTGACGTAAGCTGCCGACAAATTTGGCCTTCGGAGGTCCCAGCCCCTGAATTTGGACACAGCCAGCATGTCCACATGGTGTCCTGAGAATAGTTGTACAAAGAAGCCAAAGTGCTCAAAAAACAATGTTAGGTGGAGCACGTTTCCTGTAAATGGCTTCTCCTTTGTCACTGGGTCCAAGAAATGAAAGAGTTAAGTCAAATAAACAAAAACGTAAAGTGGACCCAGGTCTTTAAAGTACACCACAGAATAATTTTAGAGAGTATCTTCAAAACAACCRTTGCTACAAGTGACTTAGAGAACTTTAAACTCGTCATGACCTTAACTGGATTCAGTTTTTATTTAGCGCTGTGGTACAAAACTTTAGGCTTTATTACAAACCTGAAAAAAAAGTTTCACAGCTGTTTTTCTTCCTTGAAACTAATATAAGTTTAGATATCTCTACCAATAAATCATGTTTTTGATACAGTTTAATATTAAGGTTCAAATTCAGTATACTCTGTGTTTGCAAATGTTCACATCTGTGTATGATTAATGCATCAGTATTTAGAGGTGTTTGTGTATCCTGATGTTACTGTACTACTGCTTTTTCTTGAATAAATCCTTAATGTAATTCAGAGTCTTGTTCACATGAGTAAATGTAATTTGAACAGGGGGAAGTTGAAGAAATTTATTAGTCATTTAGAAACTGATTTTAAAAGCACCACACCATATTCATAGTTTTCCTTTGTAAGTATTGATTCTTATAATCTATTGTTTGACTATTGTTATGTCTTGATTAAAATAGTTTTAGATACATGCCTGAAACASCATCACAACACATAGAAAAATCGTTTATCAAACATGAGGACAGGATGTCTGTACGAGTGTCTGCGATTCAGCCGTAGGCCTGTAGTAGGCGTACCAGGCACTGGAGAACCATGTATTTATGGACCGGGACTTCCAGTTTTCCAGCAGTGTTGGTGTCATGCCTGCCTTGAGAGCATTAAATCYCRATTCACTCCAGTCARTGGTGTTGTATGGTCCTTCTCTTCACATTTTAATCTATTCAACATTCATGTGGTTTCGTCCCGATTTCAGTTAACGAACACTKAATTTTCTTKCAGTCTGACAGAAGGGATGTTGGAGGTGCAATCTTGCWTATAATTGAGTGACACCAAACACGGGATGCACAGATCCTTAAKTCTCTGCATTTAAATCATTTCTTGGCTTCCTCTATCCGCCACAATTGATTCCTTTAAGAGAGTGGATAAACGAGGAGACGCACTCTTGATTGATTACTTTGAAGTAACTTACTGTATTTCCAGTAAAGTGTTCAGAGACTGTGCAGCTTTATTAATTTCCTTTGCGAGGCCCTGTAGCTCCGATTTTATTTGAATGATTTGAGATTTATAGGCACACGTGTCATTTGTAATATAACAGGAAACTAACAGCTGCTGCAGGTGTATTGAAACACCGTGGAAAGGAACACTGTGTCCACATCCGGTTAGTGAAACCTATTCCCTGTGTGCCTTGTTTCACTTTGTTACATCAACTGTAATCCAGAGTGACAGCTGCTGATGACCTACGTGACTTGTGTGCCAAAAACAGTCTCAATGATAAGCCGTAAAATTGTAACTATCTGAATTCTGGTTGAACTTTCACAACTCCATGCCTGTTTGTGCCCTAAAGATGTTAAATCCACAGGGAATTGTGGGCACTTGGTCTGCAATAGGTGGGTTTATAGAGAGACGGAGAACACTGCTCGCAGGCCCAGGAATCTCATTAGCCGTATTGTGTTGCTAGAATGAAAGCGGCAGTGTTCTTGGCGACACCTAACCACTATAACCAAGGGAGTCAGGAAATCTCTGAAGCTTAGTAAAYCCCCACACTGCAGAGACAGCTTGTCAATTGGATTTGGAGGAGGATATTCAGTGTTTTGTCACTGCTTCAGTGGTAGAAATCGCGATAAAAAAGGTCTATTGTTCTTTTTACTTATTTTAATATTTACTTTACTTCTAAGATTTAATTGTCTGTTTAAATCTTTCTTGTGCAAATAAAACAGTATTGGTGGTTTTCTTTTCCTGGCTTGAGCAGAAAATTCTCTTAGAACCAACCTTTTTTGTTGTTAGATGAGTCATCATTGGCACAAAGTACTGTATCTGCCTCTTCTGAATGAGGAAATTTGTGTCACATTTGTCRGCCAGAGCTTTTTCTGACACTCTCTGTTGCATGTTGATCTATTATCATTCTTCTTTGACCATGCAACAATATAAATGTAGATATCTCACAGAAGCAGCTCTAAGGAAGAACCTTGTTTTGACAAAGAATTGGATCATTCTACAAAAATAGCACTGATTGCTTTGGGATTTAAAGATTATTGTTTATTCACCTTGGCCAGCGCAGCCTAAATTCAGAACACAATGTCTTCTCCAAAACAAATGTTATGAAACCTTGGTATGTCTATCTTTCTCTCCGTGTGCTTTTATCTTCTCTCATTAGAAAGAAAAGCAGCAGCGGGTTCGGGGAGGACCTGTGCTCTGACATGGCTGCAGCATTTTAATGAGGAGAAGGGTTAAYCCTCTGTCTTTAGCCCAAATTTAGAGTTTCTCATTCTATTAAGTTATCAGTTTTTGTCATGACAGACTCTTCTGATATGCTTGTGAATTTTCCAGTTTGACCTCTTTTATGGTTTTCCCTTCCCCTTTAATTCTAGAAGCTGAAATCAAAGACTTAGTGACATAAACTAAAGCCGAAAGGTGTCGTTCTGATTGATCTTGCACTCTGTTGTGCACCTTTCATAATTAYGTGTTCTTAAAAAACAAATGTCAAGTCTAATGAGGGGGAAAACGGTAAAGGTTTTTTTTTTTTTTTTGTGGAGCTTTAAACTGGATTCTCTCATTTAGGATATTCTCTTGTGTTTTTCRCATCTCATTGTAGGTGACTTGATAGACTAAATAGAGACAAATGCAACCAGGAAGCTGCAAATTGAACTCGTATTCCATCTTCTTCACGTGATTCAATATGTGTTTGGATACCTGACCTGACCTCGCAGTGTGAATTTGCAACTGTGAGTATGAATCTGATGCACACAATTTGTGTGTTTGCTTTATTGTCATAATGTGATGCAGTGTGACTGAGCTAATCTTATAATATCGATGCACAACACAATTCAAACCACCACTGACACAAAGAACATTCACTTGCCCAGACTTTTCGTAAAACTTGAAATTTGTTCTTTTGTTGTTTAAAAATAGGGTCTTCTACAGTATGTCTTATTGCACTTTGCTGTTGTGTTTTTACTAATTATTTTAGCAATTGTTTTTTTTAATTTAAAAATCACTTAAAGGCTGAGCTCAACAGAACAATGATGTTCTTGCTTGAAGATTTTTTTCAGTTTGTTGCATTTATTTTCTTGTTGTACTTCCTGCCACGCCCATGCCACCCCCTCTTCGTTCACCATKTAGCTCAGCTGCAGCCCTTCTTTCACTTATCCTTGTCAATATATTCTGTTTCTTGCCATGTTTACATCAGATCAGCATCATTGGCTTTCGTGCCTCTGTTCTGCTTGTTCCCCAGTGTCTGTGTAGGTTTTTGCTGCCACGTCAGCATTTTTGTTTTTGCTTTTTGTGTTGATATATATATATATATATGAGCTRCTTTTATCTGTCTGCATTCTTGCAGGCTCTAGTCGAACAGTCTTGTTGATGGGTAGGAGTAAAATAAAAAAAATCTGAAGACTGAAGGTGGTTCAGAAAGGATGATAAGTTTTGAAAAGTGAAGCTAATGCTTATGCTTGGTTCACACGGCAATATTATTTTAATTGTCGTTTCATTATCAAAACCTGTAAGACCCCCCCGTATGATGATAAATAACTCATTGATATAGCAGGTTTGGTCCTACAGTGTGCGGTGTACAGCCATACACCAAGCAATAACAAATATTACTCATGAWCATTCAGATGTCAGACAGGAAGTCTCACAAGACCTCTAGAGGTCAAACGTGAGTCCAAAGTAAATAAACAATGCAGACAATGAAGAAGCAATGGTGATAATCTGTGGACTGTGTTCAACAGAGACAAAACAAAAAGACATTTCTGACATCCACTGGACTTTCTGATGCATCATGGCAGTTGTTTTTTCTTCTGTATTTGGATTTCCCTCTGTGTTTCTGTGGCTACACATCACATTCGACAGACTGTGAGCTCATTTGTCTTCAGGAACACCACACACGCTGGGATAACCAAGAAAATCCAACATGTTGAACATCACTGATTTGGGGTTGAAGAGGTCCCAAAGTCCCTCTGAATCAACTGTACCACTCAACACACCACACACAGCAGGAAGATCTCCTAGATTATATTTAGAGCCATCATGATAATCAGAGTGTCCTTAAGATTGTTGGAAGGGCAAATCGGGCCAGAAATCAACACTATCTTGTCAGGTGAACCCAGCATTGCACCTACAATGGCCATGAACTGTTGGAAATGACTAAAATAATTAATCTGTTAAAACAAGTATCCAAACYAGCTTCCTGCAGCAAATGATAGCTGGACTCACCTATCTATGTGATACCTAACTCTAAATCTATCTCTAACCCAGAAAAAATACAACACACATGTGCTAAACATACATAAACAACAATTCTATAAAMTATTTTTTGAATTGTGAATTTTTTTACGAGGTATTGCAAAAGTGAGTCCCCATCAGTGAAGCCTTTCCACTTCCAGAAAGTAAAACAAAATCCGTTAAAACCCACTTTGTGTCCATCAGTCACAGACTCTTCTGACAGCCTTTTCCAGCACTTGGAGTCATTTTCTCTGACAGCAAACATTTTTCAGGCTCTCTTCATTCTTTTTTTCTCCCCTTTTTTTTAACCGTATCATTTGTGACAACTGAAATTCTTGGCTGCTTGACGGATTGACTCCCTGCTTTTTCCCCCTTTTTTTAGTTGTAAAGATGTCTCGAGATGCTATATTTGTCCACGCTCATCGTGAATATATATCTATCATTGCAAACAAATAAATTGACAAAAATATGCTAACAACACCTCAGAAACTCCTACTCAGCTAATTAAACACAAACACTGCAGTTCAGTCACAAATGACTCAAAACACTCTTTGTAGAAAATGTTTTACCACTAGATATTTAGTCATCTGCACAGCTGACATGTCTGCTTTTAAAATCTCTTCTTTAGATCAATAAATATCCCTTAATTTAAAACAGATATTTATTCATCAATTGCAAAATATCTATATGCAGATTACATGAAAAAAAAAGAAATGCGCAGTGTATTTTAATTTGCGCTTTCCAACATTTAGCACCATGTTTGTTCAACTCACAAAGTCCTGAAAATACAAGGTGGAGATGCTCTGAACRTGCTGATGCTTCAGGTTTTCCTACGAGTTGGTAGAAAAAAAACAGGCAGTGAGGGACAGCTGTGTGGACTAAAACCTGTCTTAATGAGAAAGCTCAGAGAGCAGACAGACAGGTCAGTGTAGCAGTCAGATTGATTATATGCTGTAGTAGGTGGACACAGTGACATTGTGAAAGGCAGTTTGGCCGAGCTTTTAGTCATTATCATTTTCATCTTTCTGGAGCCACAAATCATCATATTTGGACAAGAAGAAGAGCTGGAAATGGATACTTGAACTCCCGTTGGGCAGAAAAGTGTTTTGCGATCATTAAAAAACAGATTAAATTAAGTAAATACTGCAAGGGAAAGCATAAAAGTTTGCAGGAAAAATCTACTGACATTGCACTTGTGAATATTTTTTATGGACATCTGCTGGTGCCAGAGAGCTTTTGGACTGAAAGRAAAGAGGCCASTCAATTCTTTTTGCACCTAAAGGGYTGGGTTTTTTTTTAAACAAGAGGTTGAATCATCGTTTCATCATCACATTCACACAACTATAGCTGACCCACGTTGACTTCATATTTCCACTGATCTGAATCCAACTTCACTGGGATTTGGTGGATCAAGATACTTTGTCCCTGACTGTGCAGCTAACAAATGCACTCCTGTCATTAGAGCACAATCTTAATGGAATATTTCCAACATCTTGTCAAATTCCTGACACTAAAAGCAGTGAGAAGCACTATAATGTTAGCTCTCTGTTCCAAAAAAGGAGCTGCATGCTCATGTGTCACAGCCAGATGTATGTAGGCCTATATTGAAGTATTTTTTTCACGTTATGCCTGCCACCCAATCTTTATTTTATTTCTTTCTCATGCRGGCATTTAGGATCAATAGGTTATCATTTGTTTTTTAGAACTCAGTGACAGAAATCAAAAAGATGTTTTTACTGCTTGTCTTCTTTGAGCTGGCTTTCACTTTGAGCCGTCTGAGAATCTGCCTGAATTGTGAATTTATTTATTAAACATTTTTGACACAGATCAAAAAAGCACATTGCCAACAGCCTTGCAGGGCCAAAGTTTTCAATAAAGCTGTCTTGTGATTTCTTAGCTCTTCTAGTACGTGTTGGGGATGAATTTCAGCTACTGGTGTATCAAATTTAAGATCAACATCTGCAAAAATCACAGTTTTGGCAGCCAATTTGAATGGAGTTGACATCAAAAGTTAATCACTTGTAGATGTACAACCAATATTTTCTTATTTCAATAAAATCCATGCTGTAATTTATGAAATATTTTTACCAACAGACATTAATATTTAAATTCAAATAAAGACAAGTACATGCTTGTCCCTTTTTCTCGTTGGTGGCTAATACAAAAGTCATTTAGGAAAGTTTTGTAATATGTTGTGTAAGTTTTGAACAAACTAAAATTATTCAATAAACATATATGTGCAAATTTCTCCAGTGTGGGATCAATAATGTTTTATCTTATCTTATCTTATCTTATCTTATCTTATCTTATCTTATCTTATCTTATCTTATCTTATCTTATCTTCTTATCATACCTTATCTTATCTCACTTTGCAGGAGAAAACATGAACATTCAAAGTGTAAAGCAGAAGAACACAGCCTTCTGGCAGGTAGAATTAAAAGAAAATAATCATTTTCAACACATAAGTAAAAAAAAAATTCTTATAAAAATGCAACAGCCACCTAATTTTAAAATATATACCTTTTCCACATTTTTCCAGTCAACATCTGAGCTGCCTGTGCTGCAGGAACTGCTCAATCTGAATCACTTCAGCAGGTCAAACAATCAGCAAAATCCAGAGCATTCTGATTTACATGGTTGGATTAGAGTTCTAAATCGTTTCCRCAGACTTGATCTCATTTTATTTATTTTTTCTGTCTTTCTCACAGAAAATTGGCGTCATTTTCTGCTGTCACTGCAAGGCTTATTTTTTCCCCATTATCCCTGGGACAAAACTGCTGTGACATTGAGTTAATCTGTGATTGTTTCAGCTTTTCTTTATAAAAAGGAAAGGAAAGAAAAGCTAAAAAAAAGAAGAAGTTTCATGTAGCTGCAAAAACATACCAAACAAGACGTGAATTAAAGACCATTTAAAATGCAAACTGT